TAGTATGTGGAAGGCTATAAAGGAAGATCAGTGACATGGTGAGGGCTGAAAAAATTGCATCAGAAGGGTTTAAAGATGAATCAGGGAAGGAATGGCTGCAACATAGAAAGCAACTCAGTGACTTTATTCAGTCCTCTTGTTGATGTTGAGATGAAAAGTAAGAATATAGATAAAATCTCACAGTAAAACCCCTCTCCCTTCTTGAAATAGAAGTTTAAATCATCACAAATGTGTGATTACATCAACCGATAAGAAATGTGGTTGATGCACACACACATAAAGATTCAAGAATCCTTGGTGACATTAGTGACAGTCACATTTTTAAGTGAAATATCAGTGCTTTCTTGTACTGTATATTAAATCTAACAACACAGGTATTGGTCATTTACAGTCTCCTTTCATTAGCTAATGCCTTAGCGACCCATGAGCGTGCTGCATTTTCACGACCTTAAATCACAAGCTGACTTGTGTATTCTGCTGTAGTAAGCTCTGCTTCTTTGAAGAAGCTAACATCTGGGCAAAGATTAGCAGAAATATCAGTTTAAATTAATGTATTTTTAGTCCCAACCCAAATTGTCACTGACAGAACTAGGCCTTAAATGCAATTAGCTTTCCTAAAAATTCAGCAACAGAACAGACCTGAGCAGATGACCCACAGGTCATCTGTGAAATACCCAGTTTGGTGAAATCAGTATTTTAACTGTGACTCAAATAATGAAGTATATAGTATTATTTGTTAATTAATGCTGTACCACATAACAAGCAGAAGGTTATGCAAAACAAGAAGCGGCTTCTAAAGCAATAGAGATACCTATTACGAGCTCTAATCACTAAAGAAAACATCTTTTGTAAGGGTTTAAATATAGCTCTCTTGCTTTTCAAACCTTCTGATGAGCTAGCTATTACTAATGTCAAAAGGTGATGCCTGTCAGCCAAGAACTACATTAGAGTCCATAATTGAATTTCAAGAGTTGTCAAGAGCATGCTAATAAAATAGCTGCTACTAGAAGTGATGTATAAAAAAAAAAAAAAAGTTCTGGTCTGGCAGGATGCAAAGTATGTTGCGTGGTTTCCCTATGTCATTTCAAATAATATGTTCAATTTTTCTGGGCTACATTTGTCTGACATTCTTCTCTTGTATAATAATGATTCATTACATATAATTTATTCAAGGACTGTAACTCACCTCTAAGTGCCTATAAATATTACTGCAGCTAGACATTTGCATTGTAAAACAAATGCATAACACTGGGATTTATGAAGGATCCTTTTATGTGATTTCCTTGACAGGAAAGATAGATTTTTTCTGAAGTAAAACATTGACCTTAAAAGCATCTTAAAAATCTATCACAGGAAACAATTAACAGCTCTTCCTTCTCTGTGTTGTTTAGGTAATTTGACAATTTTGAGGAGGGCTGTGGGGCAGAGTATTCCTTGGCCATTCAAAATGGATACAGCTATACTGTTGTTACATCAGTATTATGGGGAATGTTCCCGTGGTTATGAGGGTAATATATAAATATCTACCCTCCCACTGCTTTGCAAAAGCGTGAGCCATTTCTGGGTGGAGCTCTTAGAGGTGGTGGAAGGCAGACAGATGACATTGCTATGAGGAACAGCAAAAGAAAAACATAGTCCCAGCTGGAACAAGGGCTGCACATAGTGTCAGTGCACCAAGCGGTGTTAATGAAAGGGTATGGGATGCTGGCATCCTTTATTGCCCCTGGGAAACTGGTATGTGGATATGCCGCAATTCTTCTAAAACCAGGGGAGAAATCCAATGCAAGATGACAACATTCATCTAGGACACACCATCGTGGGAAGCTGGTACTGTAGTGATGTCCTGACCTACTGGGCAGAGCTGTTCAGTCTAGAAAAGAGGCTGAAAGAAATACACTTTCTCTTTCTGTGGTGATGAGAATAATGAGTTTAAGTTGCAGGAATGAGAAGTTACGTCAAACAGTAGGAAAACATTTCTAATAGGATGGCAAAGAAATGTAATGGCACACCCAGGGAGGCGATCACATCTCTGCTCTCCAGCCAGACAAACTTTTAAGGACAGGTTAGAAAAATGTCTATGGGAGATAACACAGGCATGATTATTGCCACTGCAAGAATAATTCAGTGCCCATGCTGAGGTATCTCTCCAGCCGAACCGTGTTCAACCACCATGTCCCACTCTGGCACTGTTTTTCCAGTTGCAGCCTCACATCAGTAACACCTTGCTCTGGCCAGTAAGAATGGCCACCAGCAGGACATAGGCCAGATATTCCTGCTTAGGGCAGGATGGTGGACAAACTGGTCTTCCCAGGCTGCTGCCAGGTCTGTTCTTCTATGATTTCTCTAATTTACTTCAAGAAATCTAAATCCTTTTCCTTTCCATTATGTGTGAAGATCTGCACTCAATCTACTGATCATTAAATCCATGCCCCTCAATATGGTAGTTCTAGCAGTGTTCAGGCCATGTGATGGGCTGTAGGCCAAAGATACAGAAATGCAAGCAGTCTTCCCAAATAGTGCTGAATAAAGTGGACATCAAGATTCCTCACCCTTCAGTTAAATATACAGCACTTGTTAGTGACATCAGGTAGTGCAACAGGAATGCTGTCATAGAATCATAGAACGGTTTGGTTGGAAGGGACCTTAAAGACTATCTAGGTCCAACCTCCCTGCCATGGGCAGGGACACCTTCCACTAGACCAGGTTGCTCAAAGCCTCATCCAACCTGGCCCTGAACACTTCCAGGGATGGGGCCTCCACAGCTTCTCTGGGCAACCTGTTCCACTGCCTCACCACCCTCACCAGGAAGAATTTCTTCCTTTAATATAAATCTACCCTCTTCCAGTTTAAAGCCATTACCCCTTGTCCTATCATTACATGTACACTCCTGCAACTTGTAAAAAGTCCCTCCCCAACTTTCTTGTAGGCCCCTTTAGGTACTGCAAGGCTGCTCTAAGGTCTCCCCGGAGCCTTCTCTTCTCCAGGCTGAACAACCCCAAGTCTCTCAGCCTGTCTTCATAGGAGAGGTGCTCCAGCCCTCGGATCATCTTTGTGGCCTCCTCTGGACTCGCTCCAACAGGTCCGTGTCCTCCTTGTGTTGGTGCCCCCAGAGCTGAAGGCAGTACTGCAGGGGGGGTCTCACCAGAGCGGAGTTGAGGGGGAGAATCACCTCCCTTGATCTGCTGACCATGCTTGCCTGCTTTTCTCTGCCTGCTCTCTGGCAAGTCATTTAGTTTCTCCTCAGTGCTTTTGTTCCCCTTTTACAGGATGGGATAAATAAACTTCCTAATTGTACCAGCACACTGTGAAAACAGACAGGATCAGGCACTATCTTTGCTCATATATAGTTTTACCTTTAGCTGCTCTCAAAGGAAATATGAGCGCAGTTACATTCTTGGTTTCATACTTATTTACACAGGGTTTTAGCAGAGCATGCACTTTAACACCATGTAACGCTCCTCGTATCTTAAATAGAATCCATCCTTTAACTCTGACTTGCTGCTACTGTACAACCTAGAGAATAACAGTAACAAAACCACTTGCAGGTTAGCAAAACGTTTTATTATACTGAAACATAAGTATATAGACAAGAGCCAATGGTTACATTTTAGCTGTCTCATCAAACCAAAATAACTTTATCATATTTTCCATTGGTTTACAAAGGAAATAATAATAGAGATAATTTCATTATTAAAAAAATATATATAATACTTTCTATTTATTTTGTTCTATATTAGAAAGGCAAATTTGAGGATAGTGATATGGCTTAAATATATTCATATTTTCCCTCTGGGGAGCTTGTCTTCACATCTGGATAGGACACATGTGGAATGAGATCAGGAATCTTTCTACATGACAGCAGGTATCAACCCACATTGGATGTAAATTCAGCACGTTCAACCAGGGTGTCTGAGCTAGGGAAGAAGGGTAGTCTGGGATGCCTGTTCTACCACGTTTTTCTTTTCTTGCATATTAAAATTTCTCCAGTATATCCTCTTCCTATTTTTTCCTCTGGATAATCCCAAGTTTGTCCTCCCTTGTTTTAACCATTGCCATAGTAATGAACAGACCACTGTTTTATCAAAATAAACTCATTTCAGCTTAGTGGAATTAATCATGATGGCTTCTTCTTTAAGTTCTGGGAGAAGGGAAGGAGAAAGAGAGAGTGAGTGACTCCAGGGAGAAATTCAGAGTTCCTCCATTAGGACACCTGCACTGAATCACGTCCTGGAGAAATCTCTTTCTCTCCACTAACTACAGCAGAAGCCCAGGAAGACTTAGCCGGAAAAAATTAGCCCTTGTGAATCTTGAGTAGGTTCACAAGAGTCCTACAGCATCCAAACCTCCTACACACTGCAACCTCCACATATGTCTGAAGCTGCACTCTTAGCCATCTTCAGTCATTTGCTATTCTCCCCAGGGGCCAGAGATGCATAGCGTCTAGTGTTCGCAGTCCTACAAGTTCTCTCACAAGTTGGCATCTGCGCAACAAAAAAAGCAGCAGATTGTCAGGCTTCGTTGGGATTTCAGCGTTTCTCTGAACTAAAGAGGAACAGTTACCTATACTTAACAGTTCCTGATTATAAATTACTGAAATACCAGTCAGGGAGGAAAGGGCTGATATAAAAATGCACAGGATAAAAGGAAAAAGGTCTTTCCGTGAGCTGAAATACACTGTCTAAAATGACAGGAACAGCATCCTGTCCTGCCTCAGACCATTTGTTGGACACTATCCACAGTTGCTATGTGTGCAACATGCTCACCGTTTTCAACCAGGACTAAACTGGTCGAAACTGTACTATGTTGATACTAAAATATTAGTAGACAATCTGTAGTGCTATGTCCTTGTCCATATTCCCTGTAAAACCCTGAAAATCTAAGGCAACATTATATTGCAACTGTGAACAGTAAAGACATCCGGTCAACTCTTGCTACCGTCTCTTGAGCTCACCAGAAGTTTGGGCCAAGAAGGCATTATTACATTTTAAAAAGACATATGTTCAAAAAAGACTTGTATCTTGGTTGTTGATAGATTCATTTTCCTGGATATACTGGAGAATGTCCACTTCATTCATTGTCTGAATCCTGTTTTCCTTTGGCTTTGCCAGTGGAGATGAATTAGTGTTCCTGGGGGCAACTACTGGTTTCTGAGCCAGTGGTGGTTTTGATGGTACCTTAGGTTTTGGTTTGGAGGTTACTTTCAAGAGTTTCTCTAAATCATCTTCAACTCTGGAATGAAAAGAAAACGTCAGTAACATCTTGGGAATTTCTGAACTGCTTTTTGTTTTGTAAGAAAATGCAATCCTGCAAAATAAAACTTTCTGCAGGAAAGGATCAACTTTGATGAATTTCTCTTTTAGGAAGAGCTTTCCATAAAAGTTTCAATGTTACCAAAATAAGAACTGTTTTTTCATAATGTGGTTTTTCAGTTCACCATACAAGTTAATTAATTTTATGGCATGTTTTCAAATGTCTAAATTGAAAGCAATTTGCAATTATCAAAAGAAAAAGAACTTTATTTTAGTTTGGGACAAAAATCCCTTTGATTTGTGAAAGGATGATTTGCTTCCCAGAAATTTTCATGGGATAGTAGAATTTTTCACATTCAGCTCTGCTTCCTCGTCATTTCCACCCCCCAAGACTGAGACTGAGTATTCCCCAAGCTCAATCAAAAGAACCTGGAAAAACTAATGGCTTTAAAAAATTTGTGTTCACATTTGCTTCCAAGAAACTGAAGAAGTTTTGCAATCTGTGACCGTATATAACAACTCTTTTCGGTGACCATTTGGTGACCATTTCCTCCTATTTCCTAGTGAAATAACCCAGAACGCCTGAAACCGCTAAGGATGTTTTCTACCTCCATTGTTTGACCTTATCAAGAGACACAGCATGCTGTGCATGCCCAACTCTATTCCCTCAGGAGCTGCTAAAGATTTCAAGAAAGCCCTTATAACAGATTGTCTTGTGACTCCAAGAGGTGTGTCTGCCTTTGGAAAGTGAATATGTGGAGGAAAGGGAAAGAAGGTTCTGACACATCACATCTCTAAAAGATATAGCAGAGATGGCAAAGTAAAAATTAGCATAGCTAGAGAAGTCTTTACAGGCCAGAATAATTTCTGCTCTGAATCAAAATAGCCTCTTGTTTTGGTCCTCTGAGCACAGTGGTCAAACAAACTATCATAAACAGTAAACACAGTTGTTAATTTCCCAAAGGCTTGATTGATAAATAATTCTTAATCAGTCAAAACCCAACCAGCAATCCATGCAGATAATCAGCTGTGTAATGATCAGCTACAAAAGTGACGCCCTTGATAAAATGCATACGTCATATAAGCTTACAAAATACAAAACTTGCAAAAGGCTCCACGTCTTAACCATAGCATACAAAATCAAGAAAGCTAAAGCATAAGAAGCGCAAGCAAAAACTTCTACATGGAGGACCAGGAGCCAAAGATCAAGAGGAACAGTAGGTTTGTAATATGTGGATATCTATCTCCTTGCCGGACCCCAGCTCTAGTGTGATACATTTACTCTACAACAGTAGCATCTTAGGCAGTGAAATGATGTAACTGTTTAATTGTTTACAAGCACTGTTATAAGAACTGCTTTTACCAAACTTCAGTATCAACTGAATCAGCCGATTAGGTTGTAACAGCACCAGCAGTAAAACGCCCTCTGCCTCAGCCAAAGCGTAGCCTGACAGGGAAGCTACAAATGAACTAGGAGACTAAATTAAGGTGCAGGAGTTCTTCCAAAGGGACTGGAATTTTCTTTGGTGCTAAAATTCCCTTCAAATAGTTTTACTTAGTTCACTCTTAAAGGACTTGACAGGATAAGAAAGTCTGGTCAAGTGATTCTTAAACAAGAAAGGAGTTGGCAGCACACATGCAGCCTATCCTCTCCCTCTGTCTCTACTAGAGCACAACATCAAGAGGTGGCACAATCCCTCCAGCCAAGAGGATGGGCTGGATGCTCTCTGTTGGTCACAGCACTCATAACCATCTCATGGTAAATGGCAAGGAGCAAATGGAGATGTGACTAAGGGAACAGACAACAGCTCTTTCTCTCTGGGAGGATTCTCTGAAGCTTCTCATCTGAGCCCCTGGTGACTGGAAGGGGTTTGTTGGAGCAGGTCTCCAGTAGCTCCACTCATTGCAACAGGATACTATATAAGGAGTCTAAGGAAGGTGCCTTTTTAATTTCTTCTTCTACAAGCCCCATAGGTAGGCAGTTCCTGGAGCATGAATGAGTTTTACCTCATTTCATGTCAGGTATTTTTTGGTCCTTCTACTCATTTGTCTTTTGTAATTCATATCTTCATTGCTGCCAGGCAATGAGGCCGTCTTGAGGGGGGTTATCCAGACCCCTGCAAAGCCACTGGAATAACTTCTGTTGGCTAAACGAGACTGTGATTTCTCCCTTTCTCTCTTTGTTCACCAGTAGCCTTAGGAAGTACACTGTAAATGCCTCCACCACACGGCAGAACAATTAGCGGGGCCTTCTGCAGACAATTACAGTAAAGTAGGCAGTTAAAGCAAAGTTGAACTCTTCCATAATTCGGGAAACAACTCATTAGGGTAACTGGCCAGGACCATGGGGAACATGATCAACAGAAGAATCGACGTCTCTGAGACACTATTACACCATCCCTAGTGCACATTGTTTGAATGTTAAAACCACAGGTACTTCAAGAGCTCCAGCACCCTCAGTTAAGGATCCTACCATTATTATGAAAAACTGCATGATTTCAAGGGTTTCTTTTCTATGTTTACCCTTATTAAAAGCTCTGAGGAACTCAGGACTGTACCGCCCAGGCTGAGACAAACTACACTCACCATGAATCAGCCATAAAGTGAACAAGGATTGGCCTGAATTGTCTGCAGTATAGACAGTCAGTACCCTTTCAGGTAAAACCATTCTTGAAGTCAGATCTTTTTGTGACTTCCAACGGGAATCTAAAAAGGATCACTTTTAACCAAGGCTAATCTTGTAACATGAACTGCTTGAACACTGATATGTAAAACTAGGAAATACCTAAACAGACCAACGGATGGACAGAGCAGGGCCACTATCCCAGAGCTCTGCACCTTGAACTCTACCTTGTGGACTTGTATTCCAGCAGGCAGCTCCTCAAATTTCATCCCCCAAGTGATTCTGGAGATTATATTCTCTTTTATTTAGATAAGTTTTCTGATGTCTTTTACTTTCTGTGATACCCTGTGGGTGACATATCCCACCTAACTTACAAAACACTTTGTCAGTGTATTTCTTCCTCCCGAATTCCCCATCTACATAGAAGAAATTAATTTAATTTAAGCTAAGTCACTTTTGTTTGCTGCAAACTCTGATTTCCAAGAGATATCACACCTGTGATCACATTGTCAAGACATGTTCTCGTTCTCTTTGCTGTGTAATAAACAAAACATGTTAGGGCTGGAATTTCTGAAGCCTAGCCTTCTTTAGCTGATCTGAGGCCTCCCTTCTTGGCATAAACAGATACTGAACGAATCTGTGTCCATGTCATAAAGTTTTGGTCATAAATAACAGAAATAGTAATAAATAGCAGAAACCATAATAACCAGATGAACAATATATATATATATACATACAGATCATTCATGGAGGAAGCATGATTTTGAACTAGGTGCACTGCCTAGAAAGGGCAGCAGTCAATACAGCTCATTAACCTGATCAGACGGTACAGCTTCCTGAATCCTCTAATCCTGTGTGGCTCTAAATTAATTTCTGTGTTAACCACAGCAACAAAACCAATCAGCACAGTCATAAAATACCCTCAAAAGAGGTAGTCCTGTAGGCTGTTTTTTTTTTGTTGGGGGTGGGGGTGGGGGGCTGTTGGTAAATCTCCTTTTTTTATCCTATTTTTTTTCAAGACCTTGGTTAGACAGACGTCTTTTACAGAGAACACAGCAGATAACACGTGGTATTTGTCTCAAAACCTGCTTTTCAGTGCTGCAGTGCTAGGCAAACTGTTTGATCCACTGCCGTTTGATCATGTGAGACACAACTGTCTTTAGAAAACTAAAGAGGTAAAATGCAAAATGCCTCAGGCAGAGATAGAAACAAGGACTTCTATTTCTTGAGAAGCAAATGAATTGTTACAGTGCATAACTACCACCATATTTAACTCCAGGCCAGGAGGAGGAAGAAAAAAATCAAGCAACTATTCTGAAATAACAAGATTAAAGGAAGAACCTTCCCACCCCCAGCTTTTTATAGACAATCAGGCACAGAATCCATGTAATTAATCATTCTCTAATTAGTCTCTTTCTTTTTCTGTAATGGAAAAGCAGCGCCACATTGTTTAAAATTCCTGCCATACTGTCGTGCTGATTCACAGATTCTATTGGTGGAAATTCTCTTTGTTTCCAGACACAGAAAGCAATCAAAACCCTTACTGAAGAAAGGCCGTCACAAAGCCCTATGATATGACTGCTAGTATGTGGACTTCAAAAGAGTAGACGAGTTCTGACTTGGAGACAGATGCAGCTGCCATCAGAACATCAACATTTTAGATGCCACTTCTCTGAACTCTGTCCTGTCTATCTGGACAAGATCTTTGGGACAGGAATGACTATGTGCGTGTACAGCATCTAGCATGACGGGGACAGTGATCTCTGCTTCCTGGGAATGCTCTGATGAGGAGAATCAATAATGAAAACAAGAGACAAAGACTCCCGCAATTTGCTAAACTATCCAAAAGGATCATGCTTGAAGTGAGGTTATGCAACGCAAAGCAGTTCTTGCAGAATAGACTTTTATCTTTCCATATTATCGGTGTCTTTATTTCGTCTGGTGTTAATTCCAAGTATGAGAGATACCTTACTGAAGCCTTAGGGAGGGGTGTAATATCACATATATGACTTGGGAAAAAACTTTTGCCCAAAAATAGGCAGGAAGCTTTGAAGTATCTGTTGACCATCCCTTACGCTATAGTCAGTAGAGATGATGTGATGCTGGAAGTGGTGTCCCATATGACTCCGGGCTAGTCTGAAGATGTAAGTGTTACTCTCTGAATTCAGCATCTGCTAATGGCCTGCTGAATGAAGAACATACAAACTTTCTCTGCTCCAAGGGTGGCAACAGCTCCTTGGCAAACCTTAACCTAACAAACCTGCTCAAGAAGCTGTACAGACTGAATGGTGTTTGGAAATGGCCGTTGTTAGGATGTGGTTTCACAAACAGCTACAGCCTCTAACAATATAATGCTCCTGAAAGCATCACTTGCATCACTGAAGGCACAGTTCGCAGCTGTATAAACAGATCAACCTGTAAATACAGACAAAATTCATCTTTTAAGGGCACAGGCAGGATGATGCAGCTGTAGCACAAAGGTAAGAGATGGATTGTCCCTTTCAACAGCAGCAGTCTTAGATCAGCGTAATCCTAAGAAAGAATACACCAGGTCTGGCATCACAGGGCATCAGAACTGGGATCCCACTGCTGACACTTTTCTCAGCACTGGAAAAAGACAAATGTTATGCTGACAGCTGCTTTCTTCCAGTTCAACTCCCTATTCATTATCAAAGGTGAAGTTAATTAAATCTCTCCTAAAATGCTGCTCAGACAACTGTGATAATTATTTCAGGCTAGGATGTGTGATAATTTATGTAATTCTGTGGGCCCACAGAGCTGCTGCAACATTCACAGGATCAATTCTAGCATTGGTTTTCCACAAAAACCTGATCCATCACACCAGGCAGGCACGATTTAGATTAATGAGGCAGAAGAGGTCAACTGCAGTCCTGCTGCCTGAAAACTCAATTTGCACATCTGTGGCCACTGGGTGGATGGAGAAGAGAAAGTAAGACAGCATGAGACTCCATGATGGGAGAGTTTGCGGGATACTAATTTCTGCAGCAGTTGATTTCTATCTCTAGCTTAAATGGAAATCAGACCTGAGGAGGAGCTTTGAAAGTGGAGGTAAATGGCTGAATGCATCCAGAAGGAATCATTATATGGTATGACGTGACCCAGGAAAATGACAGGAGAAAAGAGAAGCCTAGTCCTAAATCCATTCCCAAGGATAATTCTTTTAACATCTGGGAAAGGGTTGATCAGCTAGCCTTTCAGCCCACTGCAGGTGGTCACCTTGCACCTTGCAAGAGTCAAAAGCAATGGGACCGATGACTTCTTGGAAGAGCCTGGGTTCCTCCATATTCCTGTGGTGAAGTGATAAGCCAAAAAGACTTGGTTACCTATCCCTCCCTTTCTCAAGGCACAGCCCATGAAGGAAAAGTATGATGTGCTCCTTTTTTCTTGCAGGCAACATGATAGGACTTGACCTTGCTGGTTCCTACCACAGCAATTTACCTCTTTTTCAAAAGTTCTGGAAGGACATGCAAGTATAGTGCCCTGCAGGCACCTCACTGATGTATTATGGCAGACTCAGTGGCAGGGAAGAGTGGCCGCATCTACAAAACCCCTCGTTCGA